TAGTAGTTTTTGCAGAAGGACAATAAAATGGGAAAAGAGCATTAGCTTCCTCAGTCTACTCTTTTAAAAAAAAAAAATTTTTAACTTTTCTAGAATGAATTACACAATTACACATTTTTAAGGGCATTTTCCTGCCTTATTTGGTGATTTTTTTGTTCATTGCTAAGAACTGCTTCAAAAGACTGCTGAGGATTAACCCAAAATTGTCCAGTGTTCCATTTAGTGCCTTTCAAAAAAATTTGATGACAAATTAGAATTTAAAGAATATTTACTACCAAATGTTAACTATAAATTTTGTGAACTGTACTACACAAAACCATTCCTCTTCTAAAAAGATTTAAGTTATATATGTCCGTAGTACACAGCATCTGACATTAAACAATAGCCACAAGTTAATAACAGTCACTTTTTTTAAATACTGGCTACTTCCCAGGCACTGCGCTTTATATGCACTTACCTTATCTAATTCTTTTTTTTTTTTTTGAGAGGGAGTTTCTCTCTTATTGCCCAGGGTGGAATGCAATGGCGATCTCAGCTCACTGCAATCTCTGCCTCCCTGGTTCAAGCGATTCTCCTGCCTCAGCCTCCTGAGTAGCTGAGATAGGTATATGCCACCACACCCAGCTAACTGTTTTTTTATTTTTAGTAAAGACAGGGTTTCACCATGTTGGCCAGGCTGGTCTCGAACTCCTGACCTCAGGTGATCCACCCGCAGTGGCTTCCCAAAGTGCTGGGATTACCAACATGAGCCGCCAAGCTCGGCCTAATTCTTAAAACTCTAACAGACTTTAATACTGCTATGCCATATATCAGAAGTGCAATCAGACTATATTAAGTAGAAGAGTTAGGATTTAAATTGACATAGTGAAACTATTTTCAAGCATATTATTAGCTTTTCCTACAAAACAACATTAAAATACGAAGTATATTATTTTGTCCTAATATTTTATAAGCTAGTAAGGCATTTTACTTGATATTTTAATGTCTATAATTTCATACAATAAAATGTAGTTCTGTATTCACCTATATGAATAAAGAGCTTTACACACTACTTTTAGTTAACAGAATACATTATACAAATAAAAAGATTTAATTACTTGACATGTGACAAAAATTTAATGTAACTATCCACTTTAATTCCTTTGGCTCAAATAGGTGCCATTTAAACTTTAAATACGGAACACTATGTACATACTACTAATTTGAGATCTCTGACACACAATATTTCAGTCTTCTGTGTATACTAGCAAAAATTTAGAGTTAGCATTAAGTAAGAAATTCAGAATTAAGTGGTAGTTAGCTGTATATACAACTGTGTAAAGAATTTTTTAAATACATTATCTAATACTTTTTACATACCTGTCACAGAATCTGATCTGGAATGCTCTTCACTGTCTGAATCCTCCAGTAAATCATCACTTAAATCAAAAGACAAAGTAAACAATTTGAATTTCCAAAAAAGTATACATCATATGAGCAAGCAAAGAAAAAAGAACAGTTGTTTTTTGGTTTTTTTCTCACTCTGTCACCCAGGCTGGAGTACAGTGGCAGGAACACAGCTCACTGCAGCCCTGACCTCCTGCTGGCCTCAAGTAATCCTTCCGCCTCAGCCTCCCATGTAAGTGGGACCATAGGCACACGCCACTATGCCCAACTACTGTTTTTTGAATTTTTGCAGAGATGGGGTCTCACCATATTGCCCAGGCTGGTCTTGAACCTTTGGGCTCAAGCAATCTTCCCACCTCTACCTCTCAAAGTGCTGGGCTTACAGGCATGAGCCACTATGCCTGGCCTGAAAGTACAGTGTTAAAATCACTACTACATATCTCAAACATAAAAAACAATTAAAATTGGCTTAAATGAGATATAAAGAGTAGTTTGATAACATAACTGATTAACACCACTGACAAAAATCTTCTTAAATCATTAAATGTCTAACTGAAATAGGGTGTGCAAACCTCTAAGAATCTATAATAACATCTGTAGGAATTTGAAGACTACTGTGTGACTAAGGACAGCTTGGGCAAACAAAAATATAAAAGACAGCAGCAGTTAATAAAATCAAGTACCAGCTTGCAGTAGTAAAACGTTAAGAACTATTCTATTACTGAATTCAGGACAGCCTAAAACCAAACATAATAGTTGTATAAGCACGTGTGTATGTTTGTGTACTCACATGTACATAAAATTTTATTTTTGTTTTGTATTTTGTTTTGGAGAGACTAAGAACTCCTTTACATACAGAAGACAGGGGGTCGTCAGGACAAGACAAAGTCTTGTCTCGATCTCCTGACCTTGTGATCCACCCACCTCAGCCTCTCAAAGTGCTGGGATTACAGGTATAAGTCACCGCGCCTGGCCTACAATGTTATTTTATACATAATATAAATTGGCATTCTGCATTGAAAATGCTTAAGGATATTACTGCACTCCAAGGCAATATTTGAAATATTTTGGGGCAGCTAAGTGGAAATTCACTTATATATTTTTGAAAAAGTTTCTCTGTTTTAGTTTTTTCAGGTGATAATAGTCGCCCATAAACCAATTTAGTGCTATAATTTACAAAGGCAAAAAATGTAAAAAAGTTTAAAATCAGCTGCTAATTCATTAGTCTCATTGGCTGGTTTCAGAGAAATAGGGTAAGTGTAAAAACGAATCCAAAGAATAAGTATTAATAATTTGGAATTATCAAAAATGAAGAAGTCCAAACCAAGAAAATACAATAAGTTTTAAGTATAGAATGGCTGTTACATTAAGAAAAATAAATAACCCAGTATTAACCTGTTGTACTAAGATGAACAATTAAAATTAAGTAGTAGTATGTTTTTTTTGTTTTTTTTTTTTTTT